TTGGTGTTTAGGACTCTTGGAATGATATTCTGCATTGTGTCCAAATCATTCGTTGTGAATATCAGAAATAGAATGGAAACAAATGTCAAAATTAATTTTGATGTCACTAGTCAAGAATATAGAGATGTGTTTGTTTATGACAATAGCACAATCACTGGACAACAAGTGGGTATTGAATCTTACTGGAGAGAGCTAGATCAAGGTTTCTATTCATTGGAAATCTTCTTTTCTACCAATACTGTCACCATTCTTTTAATTGCAATGTGTTTTATTGGAAATATCTTTCTTAAAACTGTGATTCATGCAAAGGGACAACATCAATCGAAGGGTAGTAAGGTTTTATTGTATATTTTCAATGGATTGTCTTGTTTCTTTGGAATTTCCTTTTTTGTTATGGTTGTGGTTTTGAGTGTCATCAGTCCGCTGTTTTGGTTGAAGATTTTGGAAAGAGATTCTGGAAATGTAGTGTTTATTGTGATGGCAGCAATATTTATATCTCAAATATGTATTCAAAGTATATTTTCAATAGTAAGTTGACCAATCAGATGTTTTGTAAAAATTATTGAAATTTGACAGGTCAATACTGTGAAAGTCATTAAGGTTATTAGAGAAATGGGTAAAACAGATACATCTAGAAGAGCTCTAGTTAAGGTTACTATTCTTCAACTCATCCTACTCATGACAGCTTTCATCTTTTTAATAGCAGCAATTTGTTATTCCATTTATGGAAATTACTTGTATTTGGCTTATTTCATTCTACTTAATATTGGGGTTATTGTATTTGTTTCTGTAATTTTGGCAATTTCTGCATCAACTGCTTGAAAAGTTTTCAATTTTAAAACAATTACAATTTTCACTTGAGCATAAATTTTGTAACAAAAAACAATGTCATTTAATTTTCGTTTCTTGATTTATTTCAAATTGAAGAAGTTCACCATGTTGAGGATATTTAGCAATCAATTCTTTCATAAATTTCTCATTAGAACGAACAATTCTTGGTGCATGTTTGATTGAGTGGATGTGGTAATGAACTGAGAGTGAAACTATTTCCAAATTAGAGGCAAGTTCGAGGTCGATGAGTTTAAGTGTTGTTTCGTGATGTTTGAGAGCTTGTTTGATAATGTCCAAATCAGATTTTAGTAATTGTTTCGTCTGGGTTATTCGAAAGTCTTGTTCTTCTTCATCATGTGGATAGCATTCGAATAATTGACTCACCATTTGTGGATAGTATTGAATGTTTGCCAGTAGAGCAGATAATAACAATCTTTGCTGAAACTAGACGAAAGTTATCTTGCAATTCTCGGGAAGCAATGTTCCAATCCAAATAACAAACACATTCATGCATTTTCTTTTCAATTATTCTCAATAATATACTAGCTAATTAACTAATTTGTGGAAAAAATCTTTTGATATTTGCAAAGATTTTAACTTTCCAAATTGGACTAATTGTAATCTT